AAATTGACGTCAAGTTGATGAGTTCCACCTTTGGTCAAAGGGTATACGTGTTTTAGGGCACCATTCGCATAAACTGTGATTACGTATCAGAAATTTTATGCGGGATTTTATGGTATATCGATATGACTAAACTTTGATAAGAGCACGAAACGAATTACGAAATGTGAATACTTTAATCTTGCCAAATGCCTAATAAAATAATGCTAGCCAAGAATAAATATTTCCTAAGCATGGGCCTAATTTACGAGGTATCTGTTATTTTAAACCCCTTACAATGTTGTTCTTTTAATTCTTTTTAAGGAAGAACTGCCGCCAAGTTGATGAATTGCTTTGTTCCCTGATCTATTTGTTTGCTGGAGCTGTATAAGCATTAATGAACAGCTGTGAGGGCTTAAATTAATGTTGAACTAAAAAAAGGAAACTAAATTCTAATGTAATTAAGATTTGCCTGCTGTTTCTCGGTTTGTGTTTACTCGCTTTGTTTTGCCGCCCATTTCCAATTCCATTCATAAACTGGTGCTGCGTACATATACATATATCCTATATAGTTTACTTGGTCAGTTTGCTTTGGCTGATCGCTCGATTGCCTTCGGTTGCGCATTTAATTATTGGAGAGGGAAAATCAACTCGCCACGAAAAGAGACGAAGAGAAAAACCCAGAAAACAAAAGACAAATAATTGTTGAAATTAAAAGTGCTCCGGCCAGACATCATTTTATTTAAAGCTCATTATTATGATGGTTTTTAGAGAAACGTGAAGAAAAGTAAAAGCTACAGTTTGCGGGAGGAGTACGCTTTTACCCCTCTTCTGACTTCATTTTATTTGATGGATTTTAAAATGCGTTGCGCATACGCAATAACAGTTTTTCCCTCTCATTAAGTGTGTGTGTGCTTGTTTTTTTTTTTCGGTTTTTTTATGTGGTTCCGGTGGTCAAACAATAAACGTGATTTTTGCCGTCTCTACTTTGGCTCGATTTTTCAACATTTTGGTTTTTTTGTTGTTGAACTCATTAATGTAGTTAATGGATATTAAACATAAACAAAACAATGCTCTCCACCGGGTAATCTTTAGGCTCTTTCCGAAAAGGGAAACTGAAGTTATGCAAACGCAACGGTTTGTTTTTAAACCGAGTAAATGATTGTGGGAAGAGCGATGGAAATAATCTAAAATAATAATAATCTTAAAAATTCAATAAATATATTTTAATACAAAAACACATTTTACCATAAGCAAAGCAGTTTAAAAAAAACAAATTGTAACTTAGGCGTTTGAAAGTCTTCCCGTCAGTGAGTGGCTATTACACCGGCTTTTGAATTAAAGTTTTAAACGTTTTTCTGTATAAATTGCGGATAAACTTGCCGAATCATTTCCGCCACAGCGGCATACGATCAAAGTAGTGTGTGTAGTATGTTTTATGTACCTTTGGGAGAGCAAGAGCGTTGGGAAAAAATCTAAATTAAATAAAATAAAATCGCAATCAGAGGAAGTGACGCTAAGCGTTCCCCACGGTCTCTCTATACATGCATAAAAGCAGAAAAAACAGAAATGTGAAAAAAGGCAGAGAAAAAGAAGCAGGATGCACTTAATTACCGATTCTGATTCAGTTGGCGACACGATTGCGCTCGATTCGGATATCAGTCGAAAGGAAACCGAGGGCGTTGATAAGCAGATTCACCAGGGCCAGAAGCTCGAATAAAAAAGAAACCAATCGACCCATTCACAAACACCAAGCACAGAAGCATGAGCTCATTCCATTTTTCGAGGAGCCCTCTTCAAGTTCACGCAGTGGCGATAATCAATGTGGCGTGATGTCATAATTTCAGCAAAACCGAACCACATTCAACTCGAATAATATTTTTAAGCAAAAACCAGGAGCTATGGGGTCGCCATCCCAAGGGAACCAGCTAACTATACCCTAGGAGATTGCTAATGGACATGGTGGCATACGTATTCAGATGCAACACTGATACTACTGTTTTAAAAATATTCATTAAAGTCTAGTTTAAATTTATCGAATGTATCGGTATTATCGATCACATACTTTGTATATGAGTGCTGAATAGTTTGTGCTTATAGTACTTTAATGTATAGCGAAACCGACGAAGCCAGTCTATAGAGTATCTAAAAGAACTTATATCTTTTGCAGCTAATGAATATTTATTTGCATTTCCTTAGAAATATCGAACGTCAGAGAACAGATATACGCCGAAAAAGCAAAGCCGAAGCAACACTATTTCGAGTCCATTGACGTCATGGCTTGTCACGTGAACCGCCGAACTCGCTGCCCCCTGAACCCTTCGCCTTCACCTTCAGCTCCCCTTTGGGGGGAGCAGTTGAAATGTCAATTGTGTCAAATTTAATTGGATATTCATACTTGGGGCGGCCGGCAGCCTTCCATGCTCTCAAAATAGCACTTTTCGCCATTCGTTAATGTAAATATCAAGTGCACACCAAATAGAGAAGCAAACACTTAGCTTTAAAGCCAAATTATGGCTGACAAATTTGTGAAGAGCAAACTTTTAGACCTAAACCTTAAGTGTTTAGTACTCCACAGTGCAAAAAAGTTAATTATTGAATGTAAACAGGCCTATTTCCAAAGGCAAAGATCGTTTACCTAGAATAAGTAATTCTTAGTTTTTTTCTGTCTGTGGAAAAGCCTCAGCTTGTGAACAGTTACGGCATTAAAAGTGTGTTATTCAAAATGAATGAATACTATATAATTTATTAGCTGGTAAACAATACAACGTTTGTTGTGTATTTATTCTGGTGAATCAGACTTTGCCTATCTATAAACACGACCATTTCCGTTTGGCCATTAGGAAGTTATCCAGCTGAGATACATTATATCAGTTAAGTAACCAGCGACGTATAAATATGGACTCAAATGTGTATCTGTATTTGTATCTGTATCTCAATGTTTATGGTGCTCAGTGTCGGTTGCAGTTTGTTGTCAAACTGCCAGGTGAAATCATAAATACTTATAAATCTATACCAGATATAACCACATGGTCGAGCTGCGATATATGTTAGTTGGTTTCTATTATTATATGTGTTCACAAATTATACAAAGAGTGCCAATTGTGCAAGAAATTTTGCATTCACATCGTGATCTTTTGATTTGCAACTAAAACAACGCATGTCTCAGGTTTTAGATAATCAATATTTGGTGATAAATAAGTGGAACTTGAACAGAACTCTCCGTTCTTCAGTGACTACTGTATATTAATCATGTTACTACTTTTGCTTATTAATTTTATTTTACAGATTGCAGCACTAAAACAGCAAGGATTGAAGACGATAAAACACTGGAAAGAAAACATCTTGTTTCGATAAATACGACAAGACACGAAGCTACAAAATGTCTCCAAAAGCGGTAAGGTAACCAATAATTAGGCAGTATTATAATAAACCCAAAATATTCCATTATAATGGTATATCACTGGGTTCCCAAGAAGAAACCAAAAACGAATCTGATAAAGCCAACGTTTTGCACTAGCATATGACAAACAAAGCGAAGTTAGTAAATTATTAAAGATTACTTATTAAATAACAACGAAAAGGTTGTCAGTTATCGGAAATTGTGTCCTTATCAAAGCACTTGAACTTCAATTGTCGTCAATTGCGCAGAGGAATCCCATCTTTTAATAGAAATTTTCCTGGGGGATGGCCAGGCGAAAATGTAAAGACGTCATATTGGCCAAACTGTTGACGTCGGTAGTTTTATTTTATTCTTGGACATTTGCCAAACAAATATCATCAGATACACAGACGGGAAAAGTGGATTAGATGTCCAAGTCGTTGATATGACAGATAGTAGACCAGTAGACCATTTTCCCCCGATATTTGCCAATTTCGGTTTGACATGTTTTGATTTTTTTTTGGCAGGCGGAAAAGTTCTTATCAACAGCCATGGTCTAATGACATTTTTGCGGTAACTTGATTGTTGATGGATCTACTGTTATAGGCTCCTCATCACAATCACGTGTTCAAGCGATTTTATGATACAATTAGCATGATTCGATGGTGATTTTAGGTGACTTACACCCTGACTTGGTTTTGTTTTGGTTCACAGTCTATGTTTAAGAAGCCGTTTCCCTTTTTTCGGAAATTTCTCTGTCCAGTGCATTCGTTGCACATGGGAAATTGTGCTTGAATGGTTTCTCCATAACTTTCCCTTTTTCGCTATAGTTTTTCCTCATCCATACGTAGATGTTTATTGGTGTGTTTGGATAGCTTGATATCTGAGGGGGGAGGGGTTAATTGCTATTTGAGGCCCGAAGCGGCACCAATAAAACAGAATTGACAGCCAACGCGTCGTATGATTGACGCTGATTTGTTTGCCTACCTTGGGGCTGGGTTTCTACGGCGCTCTCTCGTGCTCTTCGGCCACAGCGCTGGCCAAATGAATAGTGCCTCAAGAAAAGCACTGATTTAACGCTGTTGTTCGACTAATAATTTAACTAGTTGTTCGGGAATCTGTTGGACACATTTTAAGTGAACAAAGCTGCTTACAAAAATACACGAAGTACTTCCTAACAAATAACTATGCTCTACCATTTGTTTTGTCTATAGGAAAGTAAGTTCCCTGCGTCGCCTGCTTTTTATTGGACTACTTGTTTGACCCCTATTGCATTCGCATACTCCTCTCGTTCTGGAGACCTATTTGACCTCTATGGTCAGTAGTCTGGCCAGTGCCTTTTTATGGTCGTTGCTGTCCAATTTTAGATGCATAATTAACATGCAATTTATATTAACTTGACAACGAATGACTCGGACAGTAATGTGTGAATCCAACCACTCGCTTCCCCCATTTTCTTGGGCAGCAATGAAGTTCCATTTTGTTGTGTTCCCTTAGCTTTTCTCTTGCGTTCTGCCGACGCCGCTTTCCCAGTGTTTTTCTACCATTTTCTACATTTATTTTCCTTTGCGCTTGCCTTCCTCAGTTGGCGATTTAAAAACGTGCCGTGACTTTTCCATTTTCCTCAGTTGCCGCTGGACAACAGAATCGAATCGTCGCTTTTCCGCTTTTCCGCTTTTGCCATCGTGCTGTCGCATTTGTCGGTTGCTTTTCCCGCGGAGTTTGCTCCTCAAGAATATATACATTTCCCAGCCGGAGATTTGCATTGAAAAGGCGTAATAATTCAAAAGCTACTGCGCAACCCGTTTTCGGTGCCCAAAATGGTCGTCGTATCCGACAGCCGCGTCCGTTTGCCGCGTTACGGCGGAGTCAGCGTCAAACGGAAAACGGTACTGAAAACTACTCAGTAATTTCCACGCTGGAAAAGCGCCCTTTTTCCCATTTCGTGTGCTGCACTTTTGTGGTTTCAAGTCAAAATCATTTATTTATTTTTTTTTTTTTCGAAAAACTGGTTATGCTCCAACTTCCGTTTGTGTTTTGTGAATAGCTGTGTTTTTTTCCCTTTTCATTCTTGGTGGCCAGGCGAAAACAGAAACCACGGTGGTTGCATTAACCTAAAAACGTTAATTGGATTGAAATGAAAAACGTTTTCAATTTCCTAACATTGTGTCACGTTTGATTTGCATTCAGCAGCAGAAAGCGAAAACAAAACAATGAGCCCAGCAGCAAACTAAAACCAAACAAAGCCAAACAAAATGATGAAATTTGCGTCAGGGGAGCTCAAAATTTTAATTTGGGGGGTCCGCATTTTGTTTTCCCATGCCCTGAATATGGTAACAAAACAATCGCATTTTCATAGGGCCTTTAAATTGGAACTGGTTCAATCAATCTTAACAAATAATTGTTAGGAAATGACTAATTTTTAAAACTGCCTTAGCTTTTTGGTAACTTGGATATCTATTCAATATATTCTCGAATGTTCATCAAGGATCTGGGCTGTTTTTAATTCCTCTAAATATTTTAACTTACTAAAGAAGTGGCGATCTGAATAGTTATTATATAGGCTGTTGTTTGGGGTGCATATGATCTATGATCGCATTTACTTTGACCCAAATGGGGCGATTGCGCAATGCCGTGCTGCAGTTAGTACAGTTGACATGTGATGTGTTCGTGTGGGTGGAATTTCCCTCGATTTTCCACCTCTTCATAACAGTTGCTGTCCCATTGGAAGTTGGTCAAGTGACACGCGCAGTGGGATAGATAGCGCCTAAGCTCTCTCTTGTATAACTACCGATTACCAATGGCTGGTCCGGCCATCCGGTCTGTTTGGGAACACCTCACACCCTGTAGTTTCCACCATTCATTTCCACTATCTAGCTGGTCATTTTCAGCTTGTTGCTATTGTCATGCCTGATTGATTTTTGCTTTGCTGTTTTCCAAGCGTGATTTTTCACTGCGGCCCGCTTTCATTTTCCCTCTTTCCATTTTGCTCTCCATTTTCCCCCCCTTTTTCAAGCATTTTTCACCCATTTGAAACGTGTGTGCTTAAGTCGAAAGCCCGACTTATGCAAGCAAGTCGTGGCAATCGAATCCAATCCTCCAAAGCGAAATGGGAGCTCTTGGCACGTGCCCTCCTCACATGTCCGTCCGTCTGTCGGTCCGCTCAAATCCCGTTAATCCATCGACCCCTAAACAAATCGTGGGCATTCCCCTCTGCACGATGCCCCTCTCCATCGATAGGTGTCAATTTATGTTTTCCAGTTTTTGGCTTGAGCGCATGCGAAAGGCTGAATGTAATCCACTTCACGATCTAGTTGGCTTTCCATGTCATGGATGACATTTTTAGCTTACTTCATGAGTTGCCTAAAAATTCAGCAAAGGAAAGAAGTTTATATTTATTTAAGCAGAAGCACATTTAATTAGTGGATCACTCTTTTAAAATGGTTTAATTGCTTCAATCAGCATTCGTTACATTGAAGTTGCTCTAAGAGGCACAGCTTTGTTCTTATTGTCCAACTCCATTTAAAGGATTTAATTGAAATTCATGGGAAATGTAATAAGCATTGTTTTGTCTCTACTAATTTCAGCTAAATGTGCGCGTCACGACAATGGACGCGGAGCTGGAGTTCGCCATCCAGTCGACGACGACGGGCAAACAATTGTTTGACCAGGTGGTGAAGACGATCGGCCTGCGGGAGGTTTGGTTCTTCGGACTCCAGTACACCGACTCGAAGGGCGACTCCACATGGATCAAGCTGTACAAAAAGGTGAGCGATAAGTCGGATTCTATTGAAGTTGGGGTAAAGCTTAAATGTGTATTTAAATGATGCATGTGCACAATATTTATAAATATAATGTATGGTATATAATATAGCCCGAATCGCCGGCCATAAAGACCATAAAATATTTAAGGCGTGTGAAGAAGTATGTGGACAAAAAGACAGCCGACAGCAATGGAGTAAATCATTCAGAGACGAGCGAAGAGGATGACGACGCCGATGATATGGTGGGCAGAGATCGAGAACATATATGTGCCAAGCAAAAACCCAACCACAACTCCAAAAAGTACCAGCTAGATCATGAATCCACAACGACCCAATTTTCCCGTAAAATGCCAATTGAAATACGTATTTGCCTCGCCGCTGAATGCTTAGCTTAAGTTAATTAGCAAGTTAGAGACTAAATTCACTAATAAATGCAATCTCTGTATGTAATTTAATGCTGCACCACAACAAACAGACTGGATCAATGCCGTTTTCGACATGGGTAACACTCAGACGAATGCACTTTCGATGTTTATTATTTATTTATCGAATCAGGAAAACCAATTGTTTATTTTCGTTTACAAATCCATTTGCAGTTTATAAACTCTCCTGCTTAGCCTCCATCTAATAGAGAAATGTTTTGCCTTTGCACAGGTGATGAACCAGGACGTGAAGAAGGAGAACCCCTTGCAGTTTAGATTCCGTGCCAAATTCTACCCCGAGGATGTGGCCGAGGAGCTGATTCAGGACATTACCCTGCGTCTGTTCTACCTGCAGGTGAAGAATGCCATACTGACCGACGAGATCTACTGTCCGCCAGAGACATCCGTGCTGCTCGCCTCGTACGCCGTCCAGGCGCGTCACGGTGACCACAACAAGACCACCCACACAGCCGGCTTCCTGGCCAACGATCGGCTGCTGCCGCAGCGCGTCATCGACCAGCACAAGATGTCCAAGGACGAGTGGGAGCAGTCGATCATGACCTGGTGGCAGGAGCACCGCAGCATGCTGCGCGAGGACGCCATGATGGAGTATCTGAAGATCGCCCAGGACCTGGAGATGTATGGCGTCAACTACTTTGAGATCCGCAACAAGAAGGGCACGGATCTTTGGCTGGGCGTGGACGCACTGGGCCTGAACATTTACGAGCAGGACGACAGGCTGACGCCGAAGATTGGTTTCCCGTGGTCCGAGATCCGCAACATCTCCTTCTCGGAGAAGAAGTTCATCATCAAGCCGATCGACAAGAAGGCTCCGGACTTTATGTTCTTTGCCCCGCGTGTCCGCATCAATAAGCGCATCCTGGCCCTCTGCATGGGCAACCACGAGCTGTACATGCGTCGCCGCAAGCCGGACACCATCGATGTGCAGCAGATGAAGGCGCAGGCGCGCGAGGAGAAGAATGCCAAACAGCAGGAACGGTTAGTACAGATTTCCAACGTTTCAATGACCCGAAACATATCATGAGTTTCAATGATCGGAGTGGCGGGTCCGTTTGGTCCTTTGACTCTGATTCATGCAAGCATTCACATTCTTACTTTCGGTGATCTTCCGCTTTCCAGTGAGAAGCTGCAGCTGGCGCTGGCCGCACGGGAACGCGCTGAAAAGAAGCAGCAGGAGTACGAGGATCGGCTGAAGCAGATGCAGGAGGACATGGAGCGTTCGCAGCGCGACCTGCTTGAGGCCCAGGACATGATCCGCCGGCTGGAGGAGCAGCTGAAGCAGCTGCAGGCCGCCAAGGATGAGCTGGAGCTGCGCCAGAAGGAGCTGCAGGCGATGCTGCAGCGCCTCGAGGAGGCCAAGAACATGGAGGCCGTCGAGAAGCTCAAGCTCGAGGAGGAGATCATGGCCAAGCAGATGGAGGTGCAGCGCATCCAGGACGAGGTCAACGCCAAGGACGAGGAGACAAAGCGTCTGCAGGACGAAGTCGAAGACGCCCGACGCAAGCAGGTCATTGCGGTACACTTTTTGCTATTTGTTGGCACCGAAAACCAACTAATATAGTCTTGATTCGCCTGCGTGTTCAACCTTATACTGAATATTATCATTTTTGTAGGCTGAAGCCGCTGCCGCTCTGCTGGCCGCGTCCACAACGCCGCAGCACCACCACGTGGCCGAGGATGAGAACGAGAACGAGGAGGAGCTGACGAACGGCGACGCCGGTGGCGATGTGTCCCGCGACCTGGACACCGACGAGCATATCAAGGATCCCATCGAGGACAGACGCACGCTGGCCGAGCGCAACGAGCGCTTGCACGATCAGCTCAAGGTGGGTTCGAAATCGATTTGCCAAGTTCCTAAAGCGTCTGAAGTAACAATACAATTTAATGCATTTCTAGGCTTTGAAGCAAGATCTGGCGCAGTCTCGCGACGAGACGAAAGAGACGGCAAACGACAAGATCCATCGCGAGAATGTTCGCCAGGGACGTGACAAGTACAAGACGCTCCGAGAGATCCGCAAGGGCAACACAAAGCGTCGCGTCGATCAGTTCGAGAACATGTAAAGCTATTGCCTTTCGGACGGGCCGGATTAGAGATCGATTGTGCGAGAGAGATAGGGAGGGAGCCGAGTCTCCAGAAAGAAAAAGAAACAGATATAACTACAACAAGAGCAAATAATAATGATACTGATGATGATGATGAAGAAGCAACAAATATAATTCCGGTCGCTGGCAAAGCCTATTGCTACTATCCCCCCAGCGACGACCCTTTTCCACCCATAAGAACTTCCTGCCTCCTAAGTGAATTGAAGAGAAGATCCCCAAGTTTAATGAATATACTTTGTTTGACCGCCGTTTTGTCCCGGAGCTTTTGTATAGAAGAATCAAGAAACAAAAATCAATGGAAAATTTAACCAGACACAAAACTCATCAATATGAATATGAAGTGTATTACCGATAACAAGTAAACACGGTTAGGACCACATCTATATGGACAATCAGCACATAAAAGGATCAAGCTATTGGAAAATATGTCTAAATCCAAACAGAAGCAATAGAAAATATACATTTCTCCTTTTCCCAATGGATTCATAGAGAAAACGGAACGAATTACTATTAGATATTGGAAAACAACATCAGCAACTACTAAACAACAAAAACAGCTACTACAACAAAACAAACAACTATTTGCATTTTCCCCCGTTATAATTATTATTTTTATTATTATATAATTACTATTTTTTTTTAAATTTGTATAATTAAATAAGAACTTGATTAATTGTTTCTTAAATTAACTTGAGAGAGAGCAACAAGCAAAAAGAGAAAAAATATATTATATAAAATATTTTTCTTTAATCTATTTTTGTTTTGAAAGAAAAAGATTCTTAAAAAGTGAGAAAACAAACAACAAAAACTATTGTGAAAAAACCAAACAAAAAGTTTTTAAATTAAACAATAAAAATGTAAAACAACAAAATGCCACGTTTTTATCATGCGTCGTACACATTTTACTGATTGTTTTAACAATTTTGATCTGTGAATTAGCAAAAGCTTTCGACATGTGTAAAAAAATACTCTTTTACATGACGATGTAGAGTGTACATTCAGGTCGTCTTTACATGAAACTTCGAATGTCAAAATTAGTTTCACTGATCTTGACATTACATAAAAATGTATTACCCCTTTCAAAAATCGTATTTTAGCCCGTTCCCCATAAGAAACAAAGATAAGGCATACTTTTACTAGCGCTTTATTAATGCAAATATCAAGTTGATAACAATAGATACATCAGCTATGCATATGTTTTATGTAGTATATATTTATCTATATTATATGCTTACAGATATCAGATATCATGACATATGTGGACTGTATAGCAAAAAAAAAGGTGAATAACCAACCAACCGCGCAACTTAAGGTATCAAAAAAACAAAAAAAAAATGGTAATTCCAAACCGATTCTTGTTTCGTTGGCTTTTAGATAACATTAGATACATATACATATAATCGTAGGCTAAATCAGTATTATGCATATAATAAAAACACGATTTCTCTCTGTGAAGGCACATAATTACAGGGGCTGGCGCCTTTCTAATCAATCCGCCCCCATTTTAGGCGCGTTTTCAAGTCGATTGATAAGGCAAACTTTGCTATAGCAAATCAGTATAAGGATTATACGTGATAGTTAGCAAAGTGCTTACAATGAAAGCATTTTCGGTCGTTTTGGAGTCGTCATAAGCAGTAGCCACTGTTGTTTCTTCTTAGACTAAATGTTTACATGGATATTTGTTTTATTTTTTTGTTAGTCGAGTGTCGCTGAAATCTCCGTATATATTTTTGTGCATCTCAAAATAAAATGTACTTTTGCAAAATAATTTAGGATTCTAAAAACAAGAAGCATAAATTTGTAAAAATTACTTAAAATCCATGGAGATTTTTGCGACACCCTCATACTTCCCCCCATTCGATTAGTTTGGACTTCGTTGCACGGTTTTAACTTTTGGTCAAAGAGCAAGAACCACTTAATGGCTAAGTTCTGATCCTTCTCAATAGGGATTAACTGCCGCCAGACCAACTCTTCCGCCGGTTCTGGCGAAAACGGGCTCTGCATAGCTGTGCCTATAGCCCTTGGGCATTTGGGTCAGTGGTTTGCCCGAATTTCCGCCGGAGGAAGCACCACCAGCGCCTCCGCCGCCACCGCCACCGACACCACCACCTCCTACCTCGCCAGATCTGATGGGCGTGGCTGCGGGTGAGGGATATCGCTCCATGTGTCCCCGACCCGAACCCGTCGTCGATGGATTCTTGGTTTCCACACTCTGGAGGAATTCCCGGGAGTGCGCACGTCCACCCGGTCTTTCCCTCTCCCTCTCGTGCCGGTAGGGATCCCGGGACTGGTCCCGTTTGTAGTCCCGATCTCTGTCCCGCACACTGCGCTCCAAGTGCCTGGGTGGCTCCGGTTCCCATTCGCCGCGGGACCTGGCTCGGGATCGGTTTTGGTCACGTGAATTGGACTTTTCGCTGACCACCGGCGGTTCCTCCTCCTCGCTCCACTGCTCGTAGGTGCTGGGTGGCTCGACGGAACCGCGACGCCGCCGGGATGACGACCGATACGGATCCCGGTGCGGCGTGTCGCGCTCATCCACGTCCGAATAACGATTTACCGCCGGACGCTGTTCCATTGCCCGGAACTTGTCCTTGGCATCGTGGAAGCGATCGCGCTGGGAACTCTGCGTGACCGGTGGCTCCCTGAAGTCCCGATCCCGATCGCGCTCGCGATCACGATCTCGCTCCCTCTCTCTCTCCCGCTCCCGCTCCCGCTCTCGCTCCCTCTCCCTGGTCTTGGGAGCACCTTCTCCGTAACGCATGCCCGTGGACTTCATCATCTTCTCCATGCTCTGTATGTAGGGCAGGCTCTCGGCCTCCCTGTAGGGATTGCGGTCCCGGGAGTGCTCCCTCTCGCGTTCGTGATCCCTTCGACGCTCGCGTTCCGCATCCCTGGGGTGATCCCTGTCGCCCCGATGATCCCTGTCATGGCGGCGTTCCGTGGTCCTCTGACCCAGATCCGTGCCCCTGTGCACGGCGGCGTATTTGTTGTGGCCGGCTGAGCCACCCGTGGATGTGGGCACTCCACCAGTGGGATGATCGAAGGGCAGATGCTCCGTTGTGGACTCCACATAGCGCTGGCGATAGCGCTGATCCTCCCCAACGCCGTAATTCTTTAGCAACTGCTGCTTCTTGCTGGTGTACTCCATGAACTTTTGCTTGTCGGTGAGGTTCTCCTTGCGTTGGTGGTGATGCCCCGGCAGTGGCCCCTGCGGCTGTTGGTGGTGCAGTGGCAGTGACTCACTGCCCGGATCCGAGTCCTCGAAATCATCGTGGTTATCATCCAGACGAGAGCGCGGCTTTCGATCCCGTGGCTCGTGGGCCAACTTCTTGTTCAGCAGACGATTGATCTCGTTGTATTTGTCCGTGTCCCGCAATTTGGCCGGCTGATGATTGCCGGAGGACTGCTGCTGCTCCTGCTGCATCACCCGATTGAACTTGGCATCGTAGTCAGCCGGACGCATTATGATCGGCTTGATCTCATCCTCGCGACTCCATGACTTGTTCGAAATGGAAGCTGGAGTCTTGGTCCGCTCGCGATCTCGTTCTCGATCCCGTTCCCGATCACGATCGCGCTCCCGCTCCCGCTCCCTATTCCTCTCAAGCTCTCGATCTCGATCTCGCTCCCGCTCCCGCTCCCGTTCGCGCTCCCTATTCCGCTCAAGCTCCCTCTCCCGCTCCAGTTCCCTATCGCTGGGACGCGGCTGATACGGCTTGGCTGGCAGATCCCGGAGATAGCTGTCCTCCGGCGGCTGGACGGCGCTCTTCCGCTTCAGCTGCGCGTGATGGGGCAGCGCGATTTGTGAGGGCTTCAGAGCAATCACCGAGTTGTCCGCCTCATTCGACCAGTGCTCGTCATCTGAAAGGTTTCGAAATTCCATATAATACCGCACTTCATATCGTATTTGGCAGCCACTCTTACCACTGGAACTGTTGAGCTCCTGTCGCTCGGGACTTGGAGCCAGATCGGACCCGATGCCCGAGGATCCTCGCGAGGATACCTGCTTGCCATTGGCGGTGGCCGCCGCGCCCCCCGCCACATTGGCCACACCCGGAACCTGGCCCTTCGGCGATCCGCCCACAATCAGGGCGTTCCGACAGCGCCGCAGCTCGATGGCCGTCAGGTTGCCCTTGGATCGGTGCACCGTGTCGTAATCCCTTGGGGGGAGCAGCAGGGGCGGCCCATTCCCATTCAACTTGGCCCGCAGCTCGGCGGCCAGGGAGTCGAAGAGGTCGCTATTCTGCTGCGGCGTCAGCGGCGGATGATGCAGCGGATGTGGCGGATGATGTGGATGGGCATGCGGATGGGACTTGGAATTGCCGTGCGGCGGCGAGCGGGAAACGGGCGAGGAACCACCCGCAACCAGGCCGTGCTCCTCGCTGCACTCCGATTCCCGGGTGCTGTTGCCCGTATCGCTGCCCAGCGAGCTGCTGAATCTCTTCGGGGACGAGGTCTCGTGCCGGCGACCCTCACGATATCCCCCCGATGGTTGTGACTGCAGTTGGTGGTGGTGATGCGATCCGGGTCCAGTTCCGCCGGTGGACGCGGACTTGCCATTCGACTCGTGCCGCTTCTCGTTGCCGCCGTTCATGGGAATCGGCGGCAGGATGCCCAATCTGAAAAGGTAACTTCTTGTTAGTGCTTAGGAATTTTCGCAGAAGAGTCATATCAAGTGCATATGCGCAACCGTTAGCTACCAGAATTTTCCGAATACTTTCCCCCTTGCCAGGCAGCTTTTCCACCTCTATCGACGGTGACAGCGGCACTTTTCAAAGCAGAATTTCCGCGAAGCCATCGTTGAGCTTCTAGAGGCATTTAAGATATTTAAGCTCATGGATGTGGATGTGGATGTGGTTATGGATGTGGGTGCAGCGTGGGCGATGGCGAATCGCTGGGCTGCCTTGGCAGTGGGAATGCGGCAGTCGGCGAAGATTGCCCATGCAATTACTTTGGGAACTGGCACCACGCTGGGAGTCCAAGAGCCCCGACTATCACCATCATCATCATCATCCGCAGCCACATCCACATCCACATCCCCAGCAGGGCGATTATCGCGATCGCTCGTCATGTGTTTGGGTGAGTGTGTCTAATGGAGTGACTAAGTGGCCCGGCTGCCACTGCTTCTGCTTCCTGCTCGCTGCCAAAGTTGGCGGCACAATTAATTAGGCGTTGCATAACAAAACTCCCCCAGCAGTCGAAAAAAGAAGAAAAATTAAGAAAAAACTAGAAAAACGAATGCTGCAAGTGCCCAATTAACATTATAATGTGCAACTGTGCTTAAAGTTATAGAGGTGTTTTCCTGATGACCATTTGGCAATTTCTATTTACTGAAGCTGTTGGGAAATGATATTTTTCAATAAGCTGGATAAGGAAAATGTTAGAAACACATAAACATAACATTTGCCTGCAATGGTTAACTATTTTTGTATGCCTGTTTTTCTTTTAGCAAATCCCATTAAGAAATGCAATTAAATTGATGGCCCACCTGGTCTCCAGCTCCTCGAAACGCTTCTGGTTGTCGGGCCGGTTGATGAGGATCTGCAGCTGGAGATGC